ATACGCCGCGCCCTGTCTAGTTCTTCCTTCGTGTTCGTATTTGTTGTCTTGGCGTATTACACCATGAGGCAATACACGCAAGTCTAAGGGAGAAACACGCAAAAATAGGAAGCTTTTACGTGGTGCTCGAGGGCGAGTATTTTATGACGTGCTGCGATGATTATGTCCGGTGCTTGGAGATCAAATAGACATTCGTCAAACGTTCGAACATCGATTTAAAATTAAAAAAAATTGGCCGGAGCACCACCGACTTTCCCGACGTCGCAACTGCTTCGGCTGCTAAATAAATGGCACGTTCAGCGACTGAACGGCACGCTCCGAGTTTCAGTTTGTCACGGAAGCACTCACAGCAGTTCAAAGAAAACGCTTTCACCATGAAGTACTATGTACATGCGGTTCAAACGATGCGAATGTCCCCAGTAAAGGCCTTCTAACTTATCGTTTGCTGAGCTCTGATGACTCCGAGATCAGGGATGACTCCACAATAACTCTCGGTAGCCCTTGTCTCATTAAACACATCACAGTTAACGCCCAACAAAGTCGCCCTCGACTCCTCAACCAGACAACATTTATTTAAAAAAGATTAGCATTCTCACGCGTTTAATATTCTTGCCCACAATATTAACTGTTGTTTGCGGAAACACGATAGAAGTTTCATGATCGAGAACAACCTACTAACGTAATAAAAATTGAGTTTTCCCGTTTCTCCTATAGCATTCATTAGCTCGTGTCAAGCGATGACTGCCGGTGGTGCCGCTCGACCCCAGCAATACAGGCCTCTATCCGCGATCCAGCTTACTAAGAGATCAGTGGTGCCAGGGCTATTAGACACAAATCGTTTATTTGCATCGGTACACCCATACCTGCCGGATGTCGGGACGAGGCGCAAAACAGTACATCCGGCCAATATTGAAGCCGGTTTTCGGCCGAAATTGCATTGACACTCGCCAAGAAGCGACGTGCCGTTTCGGGGACTCGTTCGTGTAATTTGTTTGTTCACTCATTTTATTGGATCCCGGACCACTTAGTACACCCCAAAAAAGAAATGTACTGTGGCAATTACACCTTGACGAGAAGCAGACTCGTAGCCAGGATTTTGTTTTCGGGGGGGGGGGGGGAGGGGGGGGGGGCGGTCCTTATGCTCCTCGCCTCCTGGCTACGTTCCTGGCGAGAAGGGGTATTGTAGTTTTACATCTTTATAAAAAGGTGTAGTGCATTATCACACGTTTTAAGACAGGTGTTTAAAAAATCGCACATTTTTAAAAGTGTGAGGCTTACATTTTTTTATGAGGTCTATTGATACACTTATTGGTGTCTTAGTTATGGGACACCCCACTTGCATGTATAAAGGTGTGAAAATGTTTAAAGGGGCGATAAAACAATTTTCGTACTTTGCGCAAATACCGCTTAGAACGGATCCCTCACGTTAATGACCTATAAAACAAGAGTTCGTTATTCACCCCACGCAACAGAAGTCCCAGAAAAAAATCAAAGGAAAACGGGCAGCGTTCAACCCCTCACTTCGCAACCAGAAGAACCGGCCACGCAATCTGGAGCCGATTTTCAATGTTGATCATAGCCACGCACTGGGGTTGGCCAAGCACAGGACAGGCGCTGAGTTCCAGACATTGTTATGGCTCGGCTATTGTCGTCGTTGCAGCGATTGGACACGGGTCACTACCCGAATGCTTCTCGAGCTAGTAATTATCCCGAGCCCAAATTGGGTGACCACGCAATGCTCGGGTTCAATCTATGAACCGCATTCAAATATCGTCATTGGGGTGCGCTGCGATCCCCACGTTACGTCATCAAATTTTGCAAAGGAGAGATTGAATGAAGATGAGCGCTTTTGTCCTTGAAATTACACCTCAACAAAGGAGTTTCTTGGCTAGTGACGTAGCGTGCGAGTTCCTTCAGTCCCACTAGTGCCAGTGAGCACTAGTAAAGTGAAAAACATTCCAAATAAATATCGTTGCACCGCTCCTTTAATGTGTATATACCTCTAACGGAAGAAAATCTCTTTCATGTGATTACATCACGTGCCGATGAAACGATCTGTAGATGACACGTCGTTCGATGAACTGATTTGACCGCCAATGAGTGACGACTGCCAGTAGAATTTCGGAGAAATAATTTTGCCGGCTTCCGGGAGACTCCACCCTACCCAAAAGGTACCCCGGTTTTTGTTTGTTTTCCAACATTCTAAATTGTATACCAGCTTATTAGTACCCCTTCGGATATTACAGAAAAAAACGATGGCAGCCGCAAAAACTCTGACCGCCCGGCTCACAGTCTTGTGGGAGACTGACAGGTGCTCGTCAGTCGCCACCATGCCTTGAAAGCTACCAGTTCCGAAGAACCGAAGCGCGCAGAGAACTTGTGGTTCCACGGTCATGGTAGACGCGATTGTCCGCCGCCTCGAAGTCCGGGCGCCGAACGAAGCTCGTCGCAGACTCAACGCACAACGGCTTCCGATAGCCGGTACTGTCGCCGAAAGTCGTCGTCGGGGAGTTGAAAGGCGTCCCCGGTGGTCTCGGTAGCGACGCCTACGGTGGCGGAAGATATGCTCGACCGCAGCGTACGGCACCGCCATGTTGACAAAGTTTAACTTCGCCTCGATCCGAAGCGAAGAGCTCGAGCTCAAACCACGGCTCTCGCAAAGCTCGGAAACGTCACTTTGACGTCACCGACAACTTCGACAAACGAGGTTTCTAATCACTTTTTTTTTACACAAACTTTGGAGGGATGTGGAGCGTCAGCAGGTTGCCTAGGGACAATCTGGAAAGCATTAATTTTAGCTTGGCGTAGGGATGTAGGGACAAACGGGCGCTACGTCATCGGCGAAGCCGTTCAATCAGCGGGCTCCTCGCTACCCTCGCGCGCTGCACGCGCGCCTCGATGAACTTTCCAACACTCTGCCTCTCTGAAAGAAATGAGCGTTCAAATGATTGACACCTCGCTCGGCGCGACGTCAGCGTCGCGAGAGTCCAAATGGCGCGTTCCGGAAACTTCGGGTGCAAAGCTGTGCTTGACGAGTTCAGCGACCCAGTGCTGCGCTGTTCCGCCACGATCTTCACAAGGGCTGCACGTCGCACGTGCGTCGTGCATCGACGCACCTTGCGCTTCTTCTGAAACATGAAGGGGCTTTAATTTTGTGACGTGATAATCAATAACTCGACAAGCATTCGGGTAGTGAGCCGTGTCCCATCGGTGCAACGACTACAATAGCTGAACCGTAACAATGCCTGGAACTCAGTGCGTGTCATGTGTTTTGCCGATCCCAGGGCGAGGTGATGAATAACGTTGGTGGAATGAAATTGATTCCAGACCACGTGGGCCACTTGTTCCGGCTGCAAATTAAAAACGTGACGGCCGCTCGTTTTTTTTTTCGTCTGGGACGTCTATTGCGTTGGGACGTCTTTTCGTATGTCTTGTGGGAGCAAGTCTCCCACCTCGGCCAGAGGCCGCTGCCGAATGCCCAAAGTGGACAACGGCCGAGGCGCGCAATAGCGCACGTATAGGAAAGCACAAAAGCCTATAAAAGAAGGCACACGCCCACAGAGAAGGGATGACGGACCGTGGCCACGGAGGCGTGCAGTTCGAACGCTCCGGCAATGTTTTACGTTGAACTTGATACTAACAATCCATTCCTGTTACTTTAATAAATGTAGTTTCTTGTTTTTGGAAACCCCGGCTTCGTGTTGTTCCTCCCGGATGGGCATGCAACAAGGCAACCCTACCACAGTCTTTAAAGCGATTCGTTCTAAGCGATATTTGCGCAAAGTAAAAAAATTGTTGCATTGCACCTTTGACTCGTTTATCGAGTCGCGCGAACTGCCCGTGCCGCACGGCACGTGAGCTTGGCCACCCGGCCGCTGTCCGGAGCGATGAGCAAAGATTGTGTAATCTCGGCTGCCGGAGCGGCGCTTATCGCTGTTCCAATCAGACCGGAGCACGTCGTGTTGAGTTGAACAGGCTAGCATATAAGCAAGGATGCGCGTCCGCACTTCGCAGATCTGTGCAGCAGGCGGCGCGCCATCAGGGAGCGTGGCCGTGCAATTTGGTCGCCGCTCCGGTGTTATCCAAACGTTTGCTCTCGACAGTACATAGTAGACGCCATGCCATTAACAAAAATAAATAAATACATCGCACGTTTGACATCAAACAAGGGTTTCATTTTTGCAATTAAGATCCTAGCACAAAATTTTAAAACAGAGTATTTGGTGAAAAAAAAAATAAACTGTTAATAAGGAAAAAGAAAAACCCTACAAAACATTGTTCTTGCACTCGATACCGCCAGTCTTCTTTCTGCTCGGCTACAGCCGTACAATCAGGACAGAATTTCGCTGAGGGTATGACAGTGTTACCGTGCCCTTGTTTACGTACAATGAGATGATAACATCAACAAAAAAGTGAAAGCCGTTTACAACTCCCTGTAACGCCGAATTCGAGCGCAGCTCTTGAGGAGGAGGAGGGAAGGGTACTGAGGGGAGGGTAGACCCCTCCTCCTCCTCCTCCTTCTCCCCTCATTATTTAATATGCTCTGGGGGGTCACCTGACCTCGGGGGGGGGGGAGGGGGTCACGTGACCTCGTGTGGGGGGGGGGTCACGTGACCTCGGGGAGGGGGGCCACGTGATCTCGGGGGTCACGAGACCTTGGGGGTCACGTGACCTTGGGAGGGATCACGTGACCTGGGGGTCACGTGATCTAGGGGTCACGTGACCTTGGGGTGACCTTGGGAGGGGTCACGTGACCTCGGGGGTCACGTGACCTTGGGGTGACCTTGGGAGGGGTCACGTGTCCTGGGGTTCCCGTGACCTTGGGGTGACCTTGGTTACGCCGACGGCGACGGCGACGGCGACGCCGACGCCGCTCAAGCCGGAAACGGGCGCCTAAGAGCTGCGCTCTAAAACAAAATAATCGGGAGCCAAGTGGTCAGCGAGCACGTAACAAAATAGTTGACCGTACCAAGTCCGACATGAAATGTCAAGGGGGAACTTCATCCGGTCACGTTAACTGCCGAACACCGTACTTGCCTGATGAAATCGTGCACATCCTTTAGTTGCTCTTCGGCGATGCGAATTTTCGACGACGGTACGTACGAGACGAGCTTGCGCAGAATGGGCAGAAAGTCCAGGGTGGAGACAAAGCTTGCATTGAGGGCAAAGTTGACCAACCTCGTGTCCAGAAAATGACGCCTGGGGTCATCGTAGTGAAATCGCTCTCCAAACACGAGCGCCGTGATGTTGTTCGAGATGCTCGACGTGATTATGTCCGTAATCGCTTTCGGCTGGCCGCCCCAAGACTGCAGGACGTCGCAGAGCTGAGCTACCTCCTCCTGTTGCCGGTCAAAGAAAGGCTTTTTCGAGACACACTCCCTCTGCTCACACATCATACAAAGCGCGCGCTGTTCGCTGCAGACGTTACAAGGTTCTAAGCGAACACAACTCATGCATGTTCCAATCATGTTTTCTTCATACATATGCGCGCATCGAACATTTATGCAAACAGTTATTGCATAAATCATGTGATCGGACCGCCATACAAGGGGGCCTCCCACAGTGTTTGCAGACTCTCTTTTGTAAGACGTATTTGCAGTGTCACCGGAATATTCGAGTCTCTTCCGACAAAGCGAGTAAACGACGAGCAGCGGTGAAGACCTAGCTCAGGGTTCTCGAGAAAATATTGAGTACAATAGCTTACTGTGATGTGTTGTTCCATGGACTTTCTCCCGAATCCAAGATCCCTGAGCACGTGCAGACAGAACCTACGGTTATCCAGCCACTGTTGCCCGTTCATGGTAATGACTCCTGAAACGGGAGTTCATATGCTGAATTAAAAGTGTGATTTCGTGGTCCTTCGAAAATGACACGTAAGGGTGGGAAAATTACCGGTCAATTAAAGCGTTGTGAACCCAATTAGCACAACTCCATGGAAATGTATTCGTGTCCCAGCAATCGCCTCCTCAGGCGCCACCCAAGTGACTGATCGAGACTTATATAGAAGTACATCTTCACCCCAGGCCATATTTGCCTAGTTCAAGCCTAGTCGCTGTTCGAAATCGGTCTAAAGACTGGAACATAAAATTAAAAATGAGTAAAGCAGTTTTTATATGCATTGCTAATATGAATATGTAGCTCGTATTTTCAATTGTCATGTGCCACTTTTATTTCCTTCCTGCATGGACATGCACGGTAATCGGTATGAAATATATAAAATTAAACAACACGCAACAGTTTCCCGGAATGCTTGTCTTGAGCAAAAATTGGAAAGTTAATGAAAAATGCGTTCTTAGACGTGTCTTTTTGTTAATTTTGGTTATAGCTTACGGCTTGCGGTGTATCATCGGAAGATGTACAATCGTCCAACGACGACACGTACTTCGTATTCATCCGCCGGTGTAGTTATCATCGTTATCACTTTGGTTCTCTTCTGCACCCAAAGTATCAAGCTGCCTATATAAACGCGTGCCCGATAATAGACCGCGCTAACAACCTACCATGCCTTCTGCCGTTGATCGTAGCAGTGTCGACAATAACGAGTCGACGCGGGTAAAAAAGACGTGTTGCAGCTGTCGCGCAAACATGACTTTCCAGGTGTCACAGTTTGACGATGAAAAGGGCAAGTGGGCCTCCTACATCATCCGGATTGCAGCTTACTTCGAGAGAAACGCCATAACCGACGACGCCAAGGGAAGTGCCCTTCTCGTATAAGGAATTGGGTCAAGGACAATCGAAGTGTTCGGTGGCCGCTGTTCTCTAAGGAAGGTGAGCGAATTAACATGCATAGGAGTCCTGATAACTTCGGAAGAGTTTTAAGCGCCACCAATCAGAAAGAAGAAGAGTTGGCGAAAGAGTTAATAGTGTAACTGAAAAAAACTACCCAACAAATGCAATTTTAGAACTATGCTAGACACAATGATTTGGAACAAAATTGTGTGCTGCATTCGAGCAACGGACGTGAACAAACTGTTGCTGGCACAACCAAAACTTACATTTAAAAAAAAAAAAAAAAAAAAAAAAAAAACGAAAGATTTTGCGGGCCGCGGAAACAGCCCCGCAAGATGTTAAGAAAATAAAGCATTCGGAGTGTCTTAAAAACCCAGAATTGAACAAGCTTCCCGAAAAGGTGCGAAAATGCAAGTTTGAGAAAATGAAAAGACATTCATGAGGGCTGACAAACTCATGCGGAAGATGCGGAAGCTCAACACACGCTACAGGAGCCTGCGGATTCTTAAACGTGAAGTGTTTCCAGTGTGGCCGGAAAAGTCATGCAGCCTGGATGTGCCGTTCGGAAGGCAAGAAACAAGTCAAGGCGTGCGTTGTAGAACCAGATTCGAAGATCTCTAGTGAACAACTATTCATTAAAGGTACACACTGAACGTCACTTTGCTATAAAGACACTTTTGAGCAGAAGACGCGTTAGCCGCGTCCTTCCTTTAGAAGGACCCAACACAAAGGGACCCGAGCCACACACCGGCCACCCAGAGATTTCCCAGTTGTTCTCGCATCTGGTCATAAAACACTACGCCGACCACGTAGACTAAAGACTCTCCGAAAAACTCCCCATCCCTGATTCAAGTTTCTAAACTCTGTCGCCCCCCCCCCCCCCCTCACCCGCCCCGGCTCAAGTGATTTGTGGTATACGAGTCAGTCGACCGAGGCGGCGCGTGAAACTCTATACGCAACAGCGTGATTAATATACGGCCTCGAGCTCAGCAGCGATGATAGCGATATGTCTCTGCGGTTGCTGAAATCTTCTTCTGCCACCAACGACAAGTTGGTCGCACCTGTTCGCAGGAATTTTTGCTTGCGTAGTGTCGAAATCGTCATGAAGGTGGACACTGGTCCTCCTGTAAGCGTGATCTCAGGACCACTTGAGGCAGTGTTCGAAAACACCACCTCAAGTGGTCAAAGATGGAGCGTTCAGACCTGAAGTTATCGCGCTACCTGGAAAGGTTACCGGTGGCATGTAAGGTGACTCTCAAAGTCCGGTACTGTGGTCAAGTGATAACTACGACTTTAATAATTATAGACTGTGCGGGGACCATGTCTTTGTGAACACGACTTGATACAAAAACTCAAGTTTCTGGAGACGCCACTTTTAAAGTTAACTGGTACAAACTAAACGACGCAGAACGAAGAGCTAAAAACAACTCTTCCCCGAGCATGTAGAGCTGTTCAGCGACGGACAAGGGTTGCCAAAAAGGGCCTCCAACGCATCTAAATGTGAAGGAAGGCACCGTACCAAAGTTTTCCAAAGCCAGGTTCCTGCCATACGCGATGCGAGACAAGTTGCCTACCGAATTGCACAGCCTACTTAAAAACGGGATTATCTCGACTGTTCCTCATGCTGAATGGGCAACGCCCATTGTTCTTGTGCCAGAAAAAGGACGGGTCTATAAGAATTTGCGGAGATATTGAACCTGCAGCACCGAACGGTATCCACTACCAGTAATTGACGGCTTGTTCGCGTCACTGTACTGGAGTGAGAGATACAGCCTTCGAGATGCATACCTTCAAGTGCTACTAGACGAAGAGTCCAAGAAGTTTACACTAATCAACATCCATCGCGGCCTGTTTTGGTACACCCAGCACCTTTTCGACATTTATTCTGCTCCCGCCATCTTTCAGCGAAGAATGGAGACCCTGCTGCGAGGAGTAGATGGCACACACGCATATCTCGATGACGTCGTTGTGTCTGAGAAAAAGGATGACAGTCTAAACCGTCTTAAGCAAGTGCTACAGTGTTTCCAGGAAAACGGGATCCCCCACGCTGCACAAAAGGAATGCAACTTTTGGCACTACAATGTCTGCCATCTCGGACACCGCATTAACAACGATGGCCTGCGTCCTTCCGAAAACAGCTTTGCGTCCTTAATAGGAGCAAGGTGTCCGACCAACGTAAGCGAACTGAAAACTTTTATTGGGCTGCTCTCATATTACGGAAAGTTTTTACCATTTATGGCTACCCTTTTGGCACCATTGTATGAACTTCTAACGAAGACTAAAAACGGTTTGTGGGGCGATACAAAGAAGGATGCGTTCAAGAAGGCTAAGAAAGTTCTAGGTGAAAAAGACGAACTCACACGTTTTGACCCCTCTAATGATTTGCGCTTTGAATGCAATGCATCGCCTTATGATATTGGGGTATTGCTGTTCCACCGTTTGGGGGAAGCGGGGGCACATTAATAGACCGGCAGGCGGGCTTCACGTCACGGAGCTCCGGAAGCGCTGCAATCGCACCGGAGCCGGGATGTGTGGGCACAAGGGCGCGTGTTTTGCATGGTGGTCATAGCATTTCAGCATGACGCAAAGCTCTGGAGCCGTTAATTGCGCCAAAAAGTACAGGAAACGTAGCGGAGTGAGTTTCCCAAGTTCCCGGCTGATTCTAAAAGGCGCTGAAGGCGGATAATATCGGTGGATCGGAAAGAATGGTCGCCTCACGCGGAAGACCGTTCGTGCGGCAAGCACTTTTTTGAAGGCAAGTGCGACTTCCATTTCAATCTCCGTCCCGAGGCTTGGTTATGTGCAGAGAAACAGTCGTCTGATCGAGACCACCCAGATTTTGTTTTCGTAGTGTTCGCGCACAAAGCACCGGCCAAGCGCTCGTCGGAGGCTCGCTACGCCCGTGCTACCAAGCGTCAGGAGATCGGCGACAGTGCGGCAGTGCTGTAGGCGTTACGGAAAAAAAAAGTAACGATATACGTTACTCCTTACTTGAAAATAAAAGGAACGCGTTACCGACCATGTTACCTAAAAATGAATGGAACGCGTTATCGTATACCTATAAAAAGTAACGCAGGTTACTACTCTGTCACTTTTTAAGTTATGTTTACACGTTTTATTGTTTTGACGGTACAAGTATGCATAAGCTTATGTATAAAAAAACTTTGCTCATGCAGAAACTATTGAGAATTACTTTATTTTTACGGTTTCATCGAAATTCTCAGGAGAAAAATGCAATAAACAACGCAGAAAACTCAGAAATTCACATGGCTTGGCGGCTAAAAAGGCGGAAAAAAATTAAGTGTAATTTTTTTAAGACTTGGGAAGAAGTAGTAACGGGTAACATTACTTGAATAAGTAACGTTACTCGTTACTGTGTCGAAAATGTAACCAGTAGCTTACTACGTTACTGAAAAAAGTAAAGCGTTACCAGTAACGCCTTTACTTGTAACGTGTTACATCCAAGGCTGCACAACAAACAAAGCGTTCCCGCTTGCAATGCCTTAATTCTGGTGATGAGGATAAAAAAATATTAGACGTTGACTTGAAGACGCTGTGCGTATTAAATCAATTAATAATAACACTTCCGGAGACCCACAGTCTGCTGATCCCGCCGGCAGTGCGGAAACCGGCTCGAAGTAATCGTAGGCCTCGAGAGACTTGTACGCCTGCACCGTGTCGGCGGTGAACTGGCTTGGCGAAAAAACTAAATAAACGACGACGTGAGCCGTCGATGTGGGTGGCAGCAACTTCACGTCGGAAGTCCAGGAGGCTTTGTTTACAGCGTACGGATGGACGAAGGCAACGCCCTCCACGCACAGTCTGTCTCGATACCGCTGCCATCCAGGCTCGGCTAGTGAGCTCAAATAGTCGGGTACAGCATACGACATACGTAGTCACGAAATAGAATGCACTAATAAACTTAGAAGCGTCCCTACAACGTCAACAATGGGCGCGCACCACACAACGCAATGGCGAAAACAGGGAGAGCCTGGCCGCTTTCGCCCACACAGCTTCCGCACATGCGCGACCTTCCGGCCGTGTTGGTAAGCAGAGCCGCTCCGCGTGTCGGTCTATGGGAT